TTGCTATAGAAACACGTGCTGGTCTTTTAAAATTGGTAAACTGCGCCAAAATTTCCAGAGCTAAACTAAATGCTCATTCAATTTAGGCGACATTTTGTCAAAAATCTCTGTTACCTAGATTTGGATCAGTTAGACACAAGCTAAAAGCATTCTCTAATTCCTCTGAGTGAAGTTGTAGTTGAAGCAATCACCCAACAATTGATGACTGAACAAAAGTAATCCTCCTCAGAACGTTCTGGGTTCTTGGCGTTGGCTGACCGTTGTATGACTCTATAGGCATTCGAATGGTGAATATACCGCGACGTATTTGTAACTTTCTAATTACTATCTGGAATATTGACCGGACAACGTAATCGGATTTTACCAGCAAATCAAAACAAAGCTATCCAAAAGCAGAAAGCACTGCATTAATTTTCGTAGATTTCTATTAATTCTCATAATGGCTTCGCGCATTCCCAATCAAAATCTTCGAGTTGCTCTACAGTTGCAAAAACCATAGTCGACTGTGTCAAAGGTAGTATTAAATTTAAGTTCGAAAAATAGCCCTGAAAATCTCGGGACCTCCCAAAGGTTTCCGTTTGGCTTTTTTGGTCGGAGTCCTTTTGAATTTCGAACTATTCATAGAAGGCAAATAACAATATAGCTAACCATCTACATTCCTACTGTATAGGGAAAGGATTAGAATGCAGGGACTAAATCAATGATAACCGTACAAAGAGAGGCAACAGAAATTATGGCCAAGATATCTATCTCAATTACTCTGATGGGCCACGTACGTGTGAGTACCAGAGTTTTTCTTTTGCCAGCAATCCGCTCAAGTAGTGTCCTACGTCCCGCTGTAAGATCAATTAGATCCATATGCATTCGTTTTGTGATAGTTTATATGACATATTGTTGCGTCGACATTAATAAACAATAATTGTAATATCCGCTAAGTTTTATTCAATAGTTCCATATCAGACAAGCTTAATAGAGTTCGGCCTTTATTACCCCCGAGCATTGCGCGTGCCCTTGAAACAAATAAATATAGATACGTGCCTGTTTCCATCCGAACACCGATCTCAGTATCTATCTTTTCCCCTACAGCCTTTGCGTTCGTGCCTTGCGACGATGCTTGTATTTCGACTTCTACTTAGTCCTTAGTCTGTGGCACTTATTTTAGATTCCTAGTTAGATCTGACACGTATTTCTACTGCGATTTAAATAAAATCGCTCCTTTCTTACTTTCACACTATTGTCGATGACTTGCACCCCTTGGCGTATCTTGTGACGGTTTTCTGAACATGCTACATGTCCAGGACTTCCTAAAGGTAATGTGTAATCGTGTGTGAATGGTTATGTTCATGAAAGTTATCTTTCAAGAAAATCTTTTGCAAAAAAAGAAAGTATCTAAACATTCGTTCTGAGTACCAAATAATCTTCACTTTAAGTTTTGCTAGAATTTGTTGCATGTTCAAAATCAACGCTTCTAATGTATGTACCAGCTGTCCATATAGATGTCTTTAGCCGCAAAAATATATTGCTTGCTTTTTTGGTTTATGGTAACCCTGTGATATGACCAGAACTAGCAACAGTGGTATGCTTTTAGGTCTATGTTCGGGCTTCGTACTGGTATCCTGTTGAATGTACCCCGCAGCTGTAGGAGCAAATGTTGGTGCTACTCTCAGTCTGATTAACAAAAGTCAACGACGTAGACTATATTATCAGAGAACGATATACTTGTTTTGTAGTTACGTTTTTTGAAAAACTACGGAATTGATTTCGTCGAAAAGGCTTACTAGCGAACATTATTCCACCATCCCATGTAAACATGTTACTTCTCGAATCGGGTTTGTTCTATTGCAAGACGTTTGTATCCCTCATTTTTCGAAAAACTAGTGAACCTATTTCGCTGAAGACGAGTCTAGCTAGGGAAAAGTTGCAAACTTACGTTCACCGGTGGACATTTTGAACTAATATGTTTCAAAGAACCTAGTTTACTGCCTCTGTTCACAAGTAACTACGCTAAAGATGGTACACCGGTACCGTTGTAGGGAACTATAGGTGAAGCAACCGATTTAACAACTCTCTTCCATCGCAACCCTCTTCAGCGTCCTGGAAAACTACAACAGTACTGGGTTCGGATATGGTAGGCGATGAGAAAGTCGTTAGCATTATGTAACTAGAAAGCGCCACAAACGTTTCTTGCTCACCAGGAGTACTTATACGAGTTGTTAGAGCTACTCAACATTAACTACCCTAGTAATAACTAAATACCCTTAACAAAATGTGATGTTCCTGCCTATCTCAAGTTTGATCTAGATTAAGAGTTCTTTTAGCCGACCACTTTGAAGTATTCAACGATCTTCATGTGATTCGAAGTTATTCCTCAAGCTTTTTGGTCGTTATCTTAATCGTTTCGCTTCAAATATGCCTATATATTAAAGCTATCCAATCGTTAACTTATATATATGTATATGCAGGTGAGTACAGTCAAATTTATTATACAATGTAAAAATCTCACATGCTTCAACCTCTACCAAATGTTCTTATAGCTTCTTGTCAAGATATGCCGATATCGTTTAACTAGCACGCACCCCGTGTCGGGACGAACCGTTCAATGGTTGCGAACTATCTTTTGTTTGTCGTGTGCTTAAGATGATACTGTTGGCTATTTCTTATTGTCGAACTTCAGATCCGTACGCTGTTACGTAAACGAAGTAAACGAAGGACGCTGTAAACTGTTAGCTTTTGTAGCAACTGCAGCATCTGTATTCCTTTGGGCTGCGTAGTTGCAAACCTATATGTGAACGTTGCGTGACTAATAGTTCTATTTTAAAAATTCAAATCAAAATGCTCTTATTGGTTAACTAACATATAACATAACAGTTCTAAAGGTTGTATTGTTTTCAATGACAAAAATATATGTTTCAAAACGGATACCGGTTTTTAAGAACCAAAACTAGACATTTTTTACTGACGATGCGGCATTGGGAAGAGGCCATATCGGAGATTAATATGTTTTTATGCTTGCAGTTGTTGCTTAGACCAATAAGTTGACGATCAGATAAGATAACGAAATGTATTTTTGAAGAGTTTTCGATTGGTGCGATGGCAGAGCTAGGTTATTTTATCATAATGATTGGTCGTGTGTGGCAAACGCATTCGCTAATGTTTTATAGTCGCGTTTGTTGTCTCTCGGGAAGACTTATCTAAAGGGACAAATTTCGGTGCAGATTTTTTCCTGCCGGTTGCCGTAAAAATATCCCATTAAACAGCATAAGCTAATATTAAAACGTCCGATGACCCACGCATGGTGAGCTACGCTTTTACTGTGGCGTACCAATCATTTTCGATGGAAAAACTATTAGAAGTTATCTTTTGAAGATCAGTACAGCGATATATACGTTCACGAGTTTAAGCACCTGTCTATTCGAGATGACTACTCTTTGCTACTTCAGCCCTCACTCAGGTCATCCTTGATATGGTCAACAACCGCCATCTGCGCCTTACACGATGGGAATGCATTTATCAAACATAGTTTTCCTAAAACAACTCTTGATTTAGTAAACAATTTATCACATGTTTCTGGAAGCTTCACAATTGCACAGGCGCAACCTCTTGTCAGAGGTACTTTGTTGAACTTGGTTTTTTAGGAGCCTATTATGGTATACGCTTTAACATTCCCGAATCTAAATAGACATAAAACATTGTTTATTGTTGTACTTTCGAAGATTGTCGCCTCGATTCAAATGAATCTCATAGAATTAGCTGAACTCTAGAAACGAATATCTTCCTCACCTCAGACTATTGGTGGTTTGTTTTGGAATTTGTGCTTCTGTGATCTATTCTAAGCTAGTTTTCTCAAAGCAGAACAGAACGCTTGAACATTCGCGCCGCAATATCAACGCGAAAATAGCTCTCCGACGATTTGTCGATCCGTACTTTTATATTAGATAACATTGATAAATTAGTCAGGCAGATCTGATTAACTATATTGTCATATCTTTAGATTAGAAGCCAAAGCCGATCTGCTGTCACCGCTAGATGTTCCGCTGGTTTTATAATGATTATGAGAATATACATATATGATATGAGGGTAAGCTTCTAAGCCTTTTAAGCGAGTTAAGTCATACGAAAGAATATATTCTCGGAAGGATTTGCTCAAGGACCGATATACCCTTTCGGTACCACATTTGCTCTTCGTACTGATGTAACGGTAAGTCACCTTTATATAATCCTGTCTAAGCTATGGCTGACGCGGACCGACGCTATGTCAAAACGTCACGAAATCTATTTCCAGGACATGGCAGTGTGATCGTGTATTCGGAAATAGATGCTTCTCAAAAGGGATTCTACGTAACATTTTTTAGATGACACGTTCCACTGCCTACTTATAGAAGAGTCCTAAATATCCTGACTACTTTGGCCACCAGCTGCTCATCGGAGTGGCAGTTCGTATTTGTCGCAAATGACATCCTTTTCAATGTTTTTTCAAGTAATTTTACTTATTATAATACTGAATAGCTAGAGCCTTTAGGAATCATTTGCGCGTGTGTCCTTTTTTTCTAGTCGTGGCGGCACAGTAATTAATCGGCTCATTTTCTTTTCTGCACTTGAAGCCTTTCAGTGCCAGTAGCGCCACACTGGGGCTTACTGATCGTGAGCAATAAAATAAACAGCAACTTAAGTTCAGAATCCGACTAATCTGAATATGCTTAGAGGTACTTTAACAGCTGATATGAAAAATCCCGCGCGTTAGCTCTAAACGATTGCGGCTCTAGCAGATATTATACATATCTGTCGAGAACGGTATTGTTTCATGGATATTTCCCCCTGTACCGCTAGCCTAGAAGCCTGTGTACCCCAGACTAACCAAAATGTCGTCTTTCTGCCGTACAGTTTGGATCGTCACTACAATATACATACAAACATGATTTCACTATAAAAGGCTTAAAATAATTCAATTAGCCGTTACGTCATACCCTCAAGATTTATTCGATTTCATTTTCACCTTATAGGTCTTCCTCTGGCAACTCTTCTGCCTTGGGCCGGTGCGATGCAGGCTGAATTGCCTTCAGTTGGTTGCTGGGAAGGCTACGCTCGGTCTCCTGCTGTATGGCTCCTCATTGCGCCAAGACTTGCGGCCCTTTCTGTAAGTTCAAAAGTTAAACCGTACACGTACAAGCACTTGATCGCATTGAACCGTTGAATCACCCTATAAGCACCCAAAGTAACAGTATGAAGTAGCGGAGTTAGATAGTTGCTAATAGATATCATGAGCCTGATAAAAGGAAAGGTGTTCCTTCGTTATCGAACGAAGCAGCCGACCTTACCTCTGCATTTGATCTGTATATCACTATGGTTCTCAAGGTCTTTGCGTATGCTTCTTCGCTTACCTCTAGCACAAGAGCATCAGTCGATCTATTGTTCAGGTAGATCAGCTAAACTTCCGGAAAGCTTATGACCGCCACAATCGGAGGAAAGTAGAACTGATACTTATTTCAATAACTAAACGACCTGATGCTTCCTCTGCAAATCGTTCTCCTCATAAGCAAGTAGAGGAAAGAAGATCAACAAAAGAATATAGCTGATCAAATGCCAGATGGAAGCTCTCCGACAGAATCTTCTGATCTCGTTTGTTCAACTTACTGTTATTTGACTTGTATATAATAATACGTTCATTTTAATAGAAAGCAGTGCGCGGCGTATCTGACAACCCATTGAGACATTTGTCTTCTTTCGAGATTTTTGGAGAGAGCAGCTATCGTTCATACGATATGTGCAAGCCGCTGTGATAATTCCGGCGGCTGAATGTTTAAAATGTGAAGAGCGCTACTGCCGTAGAAGGGCTGTGTGATATATAATATTTCGACTTGTCAATTCCTCGCTGTATAACTAGTTTCTAATCGCCCAGAGCATCAACGTGACAATTGTGTGACATATACCTATTTTTTTGACCTTGGCTAAAGGTCGATCACCAAGAATATCTAGTCTTTATTTAGTGTCTTGCCTTAGAGCTCAATGGTGTGGCAAAATATTATTGCGAACATAACTTTTCGCCAATAGGAAAGTCACAAAAGATGGATGAAGAATTGTTAGACATTAAAGGTGGATTCATGCTGCTGGGAATGAACGCCCTTAGCCCAAATCTGACTTGTTTTATGATATAATTTCCATCATTGGGGCAGTTGTATCTCGTTTAAAGCTTAGTGTTCAAAGATGTTCTAACTGATGAACAAACGTTAAGGGAACACGCGACATGAATAGACTACCATTGCAATTCACTCAATCAGAATGGACAATGCACCCAAACAGTAAAAGGGCGCCAATACCAGAGAGCCCTTCTGGGATCTCAGAAGAAGGCAACACTTTCATAGCAACAGGAGATGAAAGCAATCCATTTAAAAGATCAGTAATGATACTCAGATCTTTTATCAGGAAACGTTCGAGGCGTTTTCTCGGATGGCACGATGGACACGAGTTACAGGCCGTAAACTTTGCCCAGGAAACCGAGGGAAAGGATGACGGAAGCGAAAAGCTGGCTAGTAAGGATTTGTTGTGGGACCTTTATACGTATCATCGAACCACAAGTGACGCTAGAGGCGGAGGTTTAGGGCGACGGCGAATTGTTAAATATATCTGTCTTGATAAGGTAACGATCGCATAACAACATGTCTGTTAACCTGTGGGCAGTAAGTATTGAAAGAAAGGTGGCTGCGATAGACAGGGAGACGGACAACCACTACCAGAGTCGAGAAACAAATCGCCGCTATACTTTTGGTAAAAAAGAAACACGAAATCGACTGGAACATATACGATTGTAGTATGGATCTATCCGTGCTGCTGCCTCAACTATAAGCAGTTCCGATGCTCGCCTGCGAGTGCATTGAACCGAAAAATAACGCAGCAGAGACAAAAACAGCCGAAAGGCTCCTCGAAGCTATCAATGTAGGGAGCAGGACCATATAGCGGACAAAACAACGAAGTACAACGTATGCGTAAAAGAGACTACACTATCAACTTAGTAGTATGTAGACTATACAGTAGAGTGTCAAGCAAGCTCCCAAAACGCTAAGGAAAAATCCAGCATCAAAACAATAAAGAGCGGTCACTTAAACAGCCGATACTCAGGCGTTCCAGGAAGCAAATATAGTTTTTCAAGTAAATGTTGACGCAGTGAATTTCAGGTGCACTTAGACAGCGACCACAGGTTTACCAGTTGTCGAAAGGCTGCATTTGAGAAAAGGGGACGAGCTAAACGGGTTTATCACAGGAACTGAAGGGGAAATATTTGAAGGGCCAAAGGCTGAGACAGGACCTACGACAAAACATGACCACGGCAGGAGACACTAATAGTAAACCCCAGTATTTGAGCCTCCCTCTTTAAGCTAAAAGCGAACTGTGTCTTCTAAGCAAGGCTGCAGCCTATTGTTGTTTTTACCCGGCCACAAATATAGCATAGGTCCCCGAGCTTGCGCCTACTTCGGCTGTGTCTTAGGAGTGTTTTTTCAAATGATCTTTGCCTAGGAAGGGTTGCCATTTATTTCAAGTCAAAACTTCTGCTATTACGCCGTCTGTCCTTCGCTGGATTGCGATTACAGATTGGGGTTAGAGTCATTAACATCTGATGACAGATCCAGATATTATCGAAGCAATAAACGTCATTTATTAATTCTGCTCAACTATTCATCTATCCTTTAAAAGGTCTCCGCTAATTAATCATACACTGTAGTTTACGAAAGGGTGACGTTTAAGAAGCAATGTATTGTGAAGATATAATAGTTACGTAAAATTATCTGAATTTATGACTCAACGTATGTTAAAACCATTCTATTTGTTATGGAGTATTTGAGTTGATATGCATTTTTTCCATGTTTTACTACAAGTAGCCATGTTGGCCAATAGATATTTGAAGTAAAAGAGCCCCAAGTAAATCATCTTTACCTCAAACCCTATCAAGAAGAATCAAACAACGATCTGTCTACAAAAATATTCATCGGCCGACATAATAGTAATAGGGAACTAAGGGTTTTTGGGCACAACAAAGCAGCACGGCCAATATCCAATTAACCATTTCTAGATATGTACTCTATAACAACCTGCCATAAGATTATAAAGAGGGCAGCTTCAATGACTGAAGCTTTTTGAAGGAAGTCATGTTATTTCGAGTTATTTTACGTTGTTCGCTCTTTAACCTAGCAAAGCTGCGCGGTTTTCACGTCTTTTTTGCTAAAGGACTACTTTTCTGTGCCATTCTGACAATCTGGAGCATAACTTTTTACCAGAATAAAAACAAAATCTGTTAGAAGAACCGAGCGTGAAGGAGATGAAGCATTTGATGATATCTGGATTTTATAGAAAATCTTAAAAAAAGTATTGACCTAGAAACACGGTTTTATCCGGTGATATTTGGTAAGTTTCACATGGCAACGAAGATATCGAGGGATGAGTTAGGTGAGGTTAGGTCCAAGTCACCTATGTAGACCAGTGGCAAACCATTTTGATTATGGTAGTTAATCAATCTACCGGAAATAGCCTTTGAGTTGTAATACAAAATGGCTCCGACTTCACTGTGACACACACGACCACTGCAACAACTTGCACTGATTCTTTCCACTGTTAATAATAATTAAAGTGGAGCCACAATTGCAAGTTTCAACAAGCGGCCATTGATCGAAGCTGTTATTACAACTAAATTTAATAAAGAAACGTATCCAAGAGAAGACCAGAAAAATGAGATAACGGAAGAAACTAAGTCTTATGACAAGTATATTAGAGATGCTTTGTCCGAAGGCATTCTCCAAAGGGAATCAAAAAAAAGATTGATGGTCGTATGTTCTGAGGTTACCTTGGAAGAATATTATATTTGAATTAACTCGCACCCTAGCCTGGATAAATGTGATCAGGTTAAGAAAGACCTCCCGTAGTCGAAGGGTCGGTTCCCGTAGAGGAACCGTAGTCGGCTTTCCCGAAGTAGAATGATAATATTCAAATTAAGCCACCTGGATCGACCGACTGAAACTATACGATATTTTCACCCATGCTATTTCATGACACAATGAAATAAAATTCATTTTTTGATTAAATCAGTTTTACATAATGGTCAGCACCTCGGACTTTCTCGCATACAACGTATACGACCTTATAGCCTGTAAGCAGGCATGTTTCAGTGAACAGTCGATAAAGTATGGCTTTCTAAAGAGCCTTTAGCGAAGATATCTCATAAGCTCATATATATGTTTATCTTCAATACCTAAATATATAAACGATGATGGCGACGAATGTTAACTTACCTTGTTGGCGATCTGCAACAGAGAATAGGGGAAAACAGAAAATCTCTTACTTACCCTAACCTAGACTATTTCGTAAGTTGAATTATCGTTCTTTGTTATTGTCATGGGAAAAAAAAATTAGCAAGAGCCTCCTTCTTCGTTAGCTAAACAGCTGTCGAAGCTTGAAAGGTCGATCTTTGAGAGAACTTCCATTTGCCCACTGCTTCTTGTCACACACGCGTTTTCCAAAGCTTCTCATGGACACACTTTTCCCTAAGCCAAATGCTTATGTGTAGCGCACAAAGAAGTACATATATGGATCGAGACAGATGTTGGGATGTTGGGCAAGAACAAGCGAGGGCAATTTACTTACTGCCGAAATACCTTGAGTACTTCAGTTCGGTACAAGAACTACAAATCTTTTTTTTTTTTACAATTACAAAAGTTTGTTACTATTGCTGTGCTAAAAGAGAGCGAACATCTTTTTAACAACTGTAATAGACCGGGCGAATCCGGCCTGGGGTAAAACGAACCTGGTACTGTGCTAGCTTATATTTATAGCTAAGTTAGATAAGTTTTCATGACATTGTCAGTATAGAACATTGACAGTTACAGGGTTGTGTAAGCTGTTGAAGTGAATGAAGAAGTGACGAGCTAGACCCTTTATTGCCCCCTTTGACGTGCAACAAAACAAAGATAACTTAAATATTCTTATATATAAGGAATATATATATATATATATTCCTTATGAGAAATCCTACGTATTCTTTATTTTGTTGTTTTGCTTATTCGATAAAAACGATTTCATTCACGCATTGATTTTATTTCAGATTAATATGGTGTTTTTAACAAACATCATTCGCGTCGTGGTGTCAAGAACTCAGCGAAACAGCGATGAAAACAAACAATTCAAGTAAGTTGTTAAGTTCTATTTACTCGTAAACGTACAAAAGTACTTGATGCACCTTTTTTCTACGAAAAATCTATTCAATATGTGTCAGCTTATAATAATTAATTGTCCAACTATCAATTAATCTGATTTTTGTATTCTACACATCAACGATTCGTGTAAAAAAAAAATAAGCTCATATACGACTGCTTGGTCAGATTTTTGTTGCTATCTGCGCAAAAATTTGCCCAATAGTCACGTAAAACTTTACATTAAAATTGTTGAAGTCCAAATACTCAATTTTGCAATTAGGACAAAAACAGATACTATAATTCTTTTTAAATTAATACTACTTTTATATCTACATATGAAGTATATAAGATACGCCGCTAGACGCTTTCGCATGCTGCTTCGTGCTCTGCGTCCTGCAAACGTCTACAAGTTACTGATCGCAGCGTGGCCTGGGTACCCAACGTGCATCTGCTTCTTGAATATATACCCATGGCAACCATTGACTAACAAGCATGTAGGCATGCTGGTACATATCTCAGCTTCAATGAAAGAAAAATCATCAAAAAACTATTACCAAAAAAGAAAAAATAGCGGCTTCATAGGTCTACTGGCGAAATCCCAGATAACGCCTGACAAGATTCAACCATTATCGTTACTCTTATCTATTCGATATTGATCACAGGCTATTTTGACGTAAATTTTCGTCTTGTTATTACTACACATAAACATAAATTGGATTATGAAAAAAAATCACTGAAAAACAGCGGACTCTAATAGTCAGGCTCCCACAACAACATCGATTGCAAAAAAATGGCTGAGTAGGTCGGAGTGTCGAAGTGTGCAGTTGACAGTATAGTCCAGACGGTAAAAGGTAAGGTGTCTCTGTCAATAAGCAAAATAGGAAACAAAAATCGAGAATAGTGCACAACACAACGACGAAATAGGATCATTCAAAAATTATTAATTTGTAATGATTTTTCAACTGCTTCAAAGGGAACAGACCGCGGACTGACTTCGTCCGTGAGAGATAAATAGAGCATGGCATGCTGATTTCAACTGCGCTAAGCAGAATAAACAGGTGAAGACTAGAAAAAGACCTTTCCTTTATATGAATTGCATTTTAAAATTTTGACTAGTAACTCTCAGTATGCCTACAGGCAGTGTGGTGAAAGATTCCACGAATCGTGTGCAACGCAGCAGGTCAAACATCCGAACAAAGTAATGGCGTGGAACGTTATTTTTATCCACGGTGCAGGAGCCCTACATTTCATCAGTGGGATTGTGAGAGAGCGACGATGCTGTGAATTCGTTCAAAGGATCATGGGTCCAAATACAAGAATGTTACTCATGTGTGGCAAGTTACTATGCCATATAGGAAAGTGTGCCTCTGAGGTATTTATCGCTAATGACGTTGAGGTTCTGCTATAGTTTGAAAATCTACCTGATTGAAAAATTTACTCGACTGAACATGTCAAAGATCGAGGCAAGGCCCGGCAGGAGATTACCAGTTTTCTCTCGTAGTTCAGAAATACAGCACTACAAGAATGGATCCTGACCTCTGGTGTGACGGAGAAGGTCGAAAGTGTGGTTAGAGTGTGCGAAGATGAGTTTCAGCAATGGTCGTAGCCAGGAGAGAAAGAATTAAACACTGAATTTAGTACATGTCCTTTCTTTCTGCCCAGTTGGAAAATGTTTCTCTGGCGATAGCGTCATCATGTTATCATGCTGACATTAGATAACAAAGGGAGGCAGCTTCTAGATTAAAGAAAAACAAACGCGCGCAGATATTTAGTTCGGAGGCAGAGCTGTCGCCGATCAAACATATATGAAATTTCTAGGTGGCCTTGTTTTATTGGCTAATGACTGTACGCTTTACCGCAGACACTACATGGACGCTGCTCCTATAGAGCGCGCACCGAGTCAGCTTGGCCGTATTGTCGAAACGGTTTGGCGAATTTTTTGAGAGATAAAAATAAAACTTTTTTTTTTTCTGAAAGAGACAACGATCGAAGAGTTAAACAGCTATAGATTTCACGGAGTTGACCCATCCTGTTTTCGTTCAAACGTATATGCTTAACGGGATCATTGTGCGAGGCCTGTAAAGCTGGCATAATCGTTCGGAGGTCAAGCTATTTGATCTCATCGTTTTTCTCTTGCATCGTACGTTTTTTTCTCTCTGTTTTAGAGCAAAGGGAGGTCGAAATTTTTTAGTGAAAGTTTTGCATTTGAAGGTCAGAAGAATTTGCTCCAAGAGACTGCAAGCTTCCGCCACAAGATATCTCCAAGGAAATGGGCTGGGTTAGAAGTCCGACGGACTCATAATAGATACACAATCATCTCAGAGGGTTTGTAAACTACTGTATTGATACCTCAGAGGCCATTAACAGAAATCTCGATTAGTTTACTTCTTCTTTTTCTTAAGCTTTATTATACATAGCACAATCAATCCTAAACAGAATGCCGTAGATCTATGAAACTTGACGACTGAACTTGAATCATTGTTTGTAGGACAAAAATTGGACCACCGGATTTCTGCGGACACAGGTTTACCAACACAAGTATTCTTTTCTACACTGTTTTTTTCGTTTTACTGATCCTTCACTAGGAAGGCAGTCCGTGCAACGCTTCTGCTTTTTCCGTTGCTTGGCGTACCTCATCTACTGTTCGCTATAAACCCACATGAGATGGATGCGCGCCTTCAAAACGCCTACTTTGTTATCAACGCCGTACTACAGTCCTCTCAGGTAAATCATTTTTGCCCAGAACACGGAGTATACGACTAAGTTAAATGAATTGTACTTGTTAGAAAGTTGAACTAAACTGAATTTTTTTTGCAAATTAAATAAAACCTAAAATGGCATTTATCTTTATACATCCAATTGAGAGTGTGCTGCAAACAATCATTTATGCTTGTGCGAAGTATAGATTTCTATCTATTGTCAATGTTTTTATATACAAAGAATAAAGAAGAACTGTGGAGCTTTGATATGACAAAAGTTGAGTGTGCAGGATTCTAGCCAAATATGGGAGCTAATTCAACTGATAGTGATTAAATCCATAACCAAAATTGGCTTCGCCGGGGCCGCGGGCAACTGTAGATGTGTTTCATTCATAATACGTTAAATCTGAAAAGATTACAATAGAGTTGCGTTTTTTAACGTAAACTGACTGCCATCGATCTCAGCCAACGGTTGAATCTGTTTCCAGAACGTACGTAAGTGGGGTCGGCTATCAGCCGACATTTAATGGACGTTGCGGTTTATGGGGTCGGCTGTTTTATAAATTCTGTTTCTCGGACATCACTAAGAATTAGAGATTTTTTTAAATATTCTTTTTTTGTATTTAATAAACGATTACGCAAAGTATATAAAAAACGATGATTGACTGCGTCTTTGAAACATTGTCAAAACATAAGCATTCTTTATCATTTCCTTCTATTTCGTTCATGAATATTTATATTTAGTAATAGATTAACTCTGTTTTGAAAATGTCACTTTTTGTGTCAGCTTAACGATGCTTTTATTTTTTTTATAGTAATTAGTGGTAGCACATATCGCCGCAAAATCAAGATATAATAGTTATTTAATTGATTTATTGATACTTTTTCCATAACGTCACTGAGACTTGAATGTCTTTTTATTTTCTGTTTCTATTTTTTCATATTAT